TTTGTTTGATTTCATTTATTCATTTTATCTTTGTGTTTATATTTGATTTTTTGTTAATTTTATGAAGTAAATTTTTAATTTTATTTCATGTATCTCATTTACCTGATGACAAATCATTCAAATAAAAATTGTTTCATATCGAACTCAACCAAACAATAATTGACTGCTTTGAATATCGACCAATACCGCCTAATACTCAATTGGGGGTAATACATGTGCCAAAAAAATCCATAACAGCTTGCGGATGATATATCGCGATGGTGTTCCATTCTCACTTTACCCACCACGACAGAGAGAAACGGTACAGTATACGTTCTACGTAAGTATCGTGTTCCTACTAGGAACTGAGGCCAAGAGGCGACGCGACACGATGCGGTACGATACTCTGCGATAGATACCGTCTATTGAAAATACCGTCGCGCATCTTTCTTGAATATCGCGACGGTACGGTATCATAAAATCGCGCTCCAAAATACCGTTCCTCAAATACCGACCCATCTCTACCTCTTGGTAGTTGGTCTACTCTTTGGCTATACCATCGACATAACCTTAATCTAGACTGCTAATAGACCAATTCAGCGACCTGTTAAAACGAATGCAATATGACGGCGTAGGGCAAACATTGTATTTTATGATATGCGACCATAGTAGTTATTGTTTCTTTTAGCGATTTCCTGTGTGTATTTCGATTGTGTTTTTGAATTTTAATTAGTGTTTTAACTGAAGGAAAATGCTCATTACGTGCATTGTGGTTGGCTGTGGATCTCGTAACAAAAGGTATAAAGTCGGGTTTACTCAGTTCCTACAGTTTCAAAACACAAGTTTTTGACTAATAAAAATGAGTTATCCAGAAAGCGAAAAGCCCTATGGTTCACAATCAAGCGAGATGATCTCACAGATTCGAAGATCAAGTATCAGAAAGTCTGCAGCAGATATTTTATATCAAGTGAGTCTCTGGATACTTCAAGTCTCCACTGAAAGTTATTTTGCGTTTAGTGAAAACTACTTGATAATATACATATAATTTTCAGGCAAACCTGCTTCTTTAGAGAATGAAACCAATCTTGACTTGAGTTCCTTCGTAGAACATGGGACATTCAGCACAAAATGTTCGAAAGGATAATAAAGATGTTGAAAAAAAAGCGAGGTTGGATAGAAGAAAATTATCTGAAGTAAGTGGTGTTGCTTCAGGTGGAATACTTAAGTATTAACATGATTTTGAAATGTCTTTTGTTACAGAATGAACTCCAGTCTTATATGGATATTGACTTTGATAATAATGAACCTAGAGATGGACAAGAAACAGGCATTTCAACACGGACTGATTTAACAATGGAAGAACTGGCTACAAAATTTGAACAACTGACTGAAAAGACTATCATAAATTGTATGTTGAGTGTTGTAATATTAAAACTCATTATATATTCTCTATAAATCTATTAATTAAAAGTTGATATTCATAGTACACTGCACATTTATTAAATAAAAACATAGACTATAAACATATCTCAAGAAAACTCAAAATAGAGTTTTTGATACAAAACAAGTTCAACAATTCAAAATATTTTCAAGATCAGTATCTTCTGTAAGAATCACTCTGGGACGTTCAAATGTGAAATTGAATCATTCTCTTGATCAACAAAGACGGCAATAAACATAATATGTCACAGGTACAGCTGATCGTGAATACACACAGTTTCACGTGTTACGTTTCTTAGATGAATTTACTATACTATAAGGAAATCAGAAAGTTAGCATACTGCTAGCTTAGAAAAACTCACCTGTCCAACTAAAATGTATAAATTGTTCTCAATCTTTGTTCCCACCTTCACAACGAAGCCAGATTCGAAATATATACGATTCCAAACCTTTATATGCCTTCATCTGCACATGTGACTGAAAGGTTTGGGTAAAAACCAACTACGAAGCAATATCCACAAATGTAACTGGAGGAACACCATCAATTGAATAATCCAAATTAGAAACATTCAATGAAAAAGGGTCTGCACCATTGACCAATCTCAACTTCATTATATAATATCTGTAACACAATGATAAAAATGTAAACAGATGATGGTGTATTTTTTCGAACATATCGTTTAGCAACGTCTCTGCTGTTCAGCAATAGTGATTTCAAGTATTCACTTTACATTTTGATTGAAATTAAACACCACAAAAGCTCCAAAAATGTGAAAAAACACTCCACAATAGCGAACGACATCAAAACCAACGATGCTCTTATGACAATAATTGTTTGCCCTATTGGGTCACGTGGTTTGGATTGTTCTATCTACTTAATCTGTGGCTCTATACCATTTACGAAATTTCAGTGAGCCTTCAGGGCATGCGCAATGAAGTTTCATGACGTTTCCAAATCACGTGGGCGTATCGCAGGAAAGGGGGATTTTTTAGAATTAACAAGTGAAATACAAAAATAAACATTTTTATTATAATAGGTACTCTGTATGACTCTTCCTGATATCTACTGGCGAGTAGTAATGACATTAATACCGAGCAAAGCTCGGTCACCCAGGTACTTATATGTTGTTCATTGTTAATGATTATAGATATATTGTTTAAAATGGAAGGGGATATATTTTTAGAAGTGATTGATTTTTCGGTAAATAGCATACTATATAGCTTGTTGAAATAATATTGTTGGGTTTACTGATTACTAGAAAAAGACACATTGTAAATATATTTAGATAGGCAATATTGTGAAACTAATTTTATATAGCTGAAAATGTTTCTATATATAGCTGTAACATTTAAACATACATAAGGACATACTGTAAAATAATAGAAAGGCCAATTGTGAAATTAATTTAGGGTGGTACACTTATATGGGTGGTATTACTGATTATCTACCTGTATAATGTACCTGAATAGCATAAATAGCTTTAGTTTTGAGTAGTTTCTAGTTTTATCTTCCTCTTGAAGATGATCACTTGGTGATCGAAACACGTGTCGAGGTGTAAAAATAACGATTTGATGTTGGGAAAAAACTCCAGTAATATTCATTACTACACCAAAGGTTCCAAACAGTACATCATAAGTTCAAAACTGTTTGAAGGTTATTATCATGAATATATTCTAGATCGATTTATTTGCCTCTATTTCGTGTCTGAAGTTTTCAAATTGTTAATATGGCTGTAGAATGACATGAAAGTGAGTAATGGTAGTGATAAAATAATTTTGTGTGAACAAAATTAATGAAATACCAAGTTACAAAACTATCAATATAATTTTGAATTCTGTAAAAAGTGGGACTTTGTTGGTGTCAAGGTTCCAAAATCAAGAACCACGATATGTGCATGAGGTTCGTAATTTCATCACATTGGTGCAATACTTTAAATCTACCCAATTATAATCAAAACTAAACCAAAACAGTCATTGAATAAAAAACGTATGTGGGTGAGTGCACTATAATCCTGAAATCTATAGAGTATGCCTTTAATTTAGTGATTTGCATTCGATTTGGACTCAACTGATGTTGAATACATGTTACCTACATGTCTTTAGAAAACATGTAGGTAAGACTGTTGAAAAAAATATCTGTTCAATGTTTCAAGAAAAAAAATAACTTTCAGACACACA